TTCTTCTTCTTCTTCTTCCTCCTTCTCCTCCCCCATCCTCCTCCCCCTCCTCTTCCTCCCCTTCTTCTTCTTTCTCCTTCTCCCCCATCCTCCTCCCCTCCTCTTCATCCCCTTCTTCTTCTTCTTCCTCTTCTTCTTATTATAATCATTATCATTATTATTATTATTATCATCCTCCTACTTCCTCTCTTTCTTCTTCTTCTTCTTCTTCTTCTTCTTCTTCTTCTTTCTTCTTCTTCTCCTCTTCCTCCTTCCCCTTCCCCTTCTCCTCCTCCTCCTTCTCCTCCTCCCCCTCCTCCTCCTTCTCCTCCTCCTCCTCCTCTTCCTTCTTCTTCTTCTTCTCCTCTTTCTTCTTCTTCTTTCTCTTTTCTTTGATCTTTCTTTGTCTTTTGGGGGGCTCATTAACTTTTGACTGAATACTGAAATCAGTGATGTTATTCCAGTCTATATTAGCATGAATCATTTCCATGAACATTCCAGAGAAAACCCCAACCTCTCTAAGTAGTGGCTAACCCTTTAACTAAAAATAATTCTTGAGGTAACACTTCACTCTAGGGTGATTTGAAAGAGCCCTGAAGATTGGGAACAGCTCACCTAATTCAGAGATATTTCCACATCATTTGTAACTATCCTCACCCTTTTTGATCCTCCGCATTCATTTTATGTCCCCAAACATCACCATGTAAATATCATCTTTGGTGTTCCATCTCACCAGAAGAATCCCCCACCTGTAGTCAACACTTGTCATACGTTAGTTCTTTAAGATTACCTGCTGGTATATGATTCCATGTCACCTTGATTCTGTTAAGTTTATTGAATTCTGTTCACTGAGTGATGACCAGACAAATAATAGACATATGCACATGAAAGGTGCAAACTTGTGTGATTCTCAAACCAGTCATGCAAGTCTGTGATAGGAACAGCAAGGGATCACCCTGCATTCTCATCATTGAGGTTAGATACATTCCCAGTTGCAAAAGTGCCAGACTCGAGCTCTGCTCTGGTCATCTTTGAGTTCAAGACCCTTTATTTTATAATGAAGTTGTGGAAGTTGTACTCCAATGGCTGAGGCCATGTGGTCAGGTGACACAGCAGCTGAACCTAGCACTATCTATGCTCCCGGTGTGGTTGAGCTTTATATTCGCAGTCTTTGCAACAACACACACACATGTGCAGATGTGCACACAGACAAATGAAACTGGAGAGAATCTTCTCTGAGCCTCTTAAAGGGGGAAAATGGTAATATGAACGACTCCAAACACCTAAGGTGTGTGTCACATATAAAAATTAAGCTGATGGCTTTTTAGTGACTCAAGTTCTCTCTTCACTTTTCCATGGCTTACCAGGTAGAGCACCTAACTATTACTGCATAATGAAGCCCACTGGCTTGACTTGTAAATTCAATCTAAACCATGATCCTAGACCATCACAGATTTAGGGGTAGATTCTTGAAATTCAGTCTCCAGAAACTAGACACTTGAATGTTAGGGGCAGTTTCCAAAAGAAACCAGCATCTTGCCTCGTGGATGAAAGGCCCATAGCTCTAGTTTCAGCGAGTCCTTTTATCTACTTTACATACAACAGGGAGGCAGCAGAGAATCCTGCTGCCTGATGTCACCTCCAGTGGCTGACCATACAGCGTGTGCCAAATCAGCAGCACGATGATCACATCTGACAGTTGAATCCAGGATCATCACCTGATTATTTAGCAGACTCATTTGTAAAGCAGCTTAGAAGCCAATAAAACATGGAGGAGGAGTGGCCTTCCTATCCCCGGAGATGAGACAGTCTTTGGTTTCACGCTTAAGGATTGTTGCTGTTTTCTAGGCACTGTATCCATCACATTGTGAATGGTGATGTGTGTCATAGGTGTGTGCCTATGTGAGGGATGGAGATATTTTGCCAAGTAAATCTCTTCAGTGTACCAGTTTGTGGGAGGGATGTAGGATGTGTGGATGGCAGTGAGAGATCCTGCCTGGAGACCTTGACGGAGGCTTGGTGAGACACATCTCAATGAGCACACAGAGATAGGGGAATGGACAGAGTAATGGGAAGCTCCACCTGAGCAAGTACACAAAAGGATGGCAGCCACCACTATGCCTTCCTTTGTCACACAAGCTCCAAACACAGAGAGTTTGACAAGTTCATGTTAGGATGTTGGCTGGGCTTTGTATTTTTAATTAATTTTGGATTTTTTAGTGGTTTTGTCATATTACTGTCTGAGTTTGGTAGGTAGAATTAATTTGAAAAGAGTATACTAGTGTGGTCCTCAGGGTAGAATTTAGCCGTAAGCATGTTGTTAGCCAGCCTGTAGACTGTTAATTACTTAATAATCTCATTGGGAAAATACTTGTAGTTTTATATTTGGATGACATAATTGGGAAAGCAGATTAGCTGCTGCTAACTTTTAAAAGACTTGAGGTTGACATAAAAAATTTCAAATCTTAGGTCAATAACCAAGTTGCTAAATTGGAAACCATTGGCTAAAATGTGTTGTTGAGTTTCCAAATGTACGGATTTGCATTTGGACATTGCGCCACTAAATGCATTGGAAAGATACTTGCTCTGTCATATCTTTCCCAAAGCTGTCTGATTTGGAGTTCATTTTATTCAAATTTGCATCCTGGAGGTTGAAGTTGGAGTATGAAGTTGGAAAGCTTTTTTGAAGGCAGAATCAATTGAGCTGTGAGGGCTCCCCCCTCACATACTTCTCAACAGACATGATAACATTCACCTGCGTGAGCTGGCAGGTGCAAGAACCAAACTGGATCACTGGGTAGGACTACTCAGTTAAGGCAAATGAACTGCTTGCTTAGAGAAGCATCACTATCCCCATTGAGAAACTGTGTGGCGACACAGTGTAGCTACACAATATCAAATGAATGGGTTGATTAAGTGCCCCCCAAATCAATTCTGTGGGGGTCAGCTGTTGAGCCAGTTGTCACCGCTCGGTTACGCAACTGGCAAACTAAACTCCTCTTCGTCGTTATGGTTGTTGTTGTTGTTGCTATTGTTGTTGTTGTTGCCGTTGTTTGTCATTTCCACCCGCACAGCCTTATTCTCATAATTAAACCCTGATTCATTTTCTCTTTGGTGTTAGCAAACTCCAACAGCAGAGATGGCATCTGTGTATTGATAACTGGCATTTACCCTGGCAGGAGGCTAATCGGATAGGCTGGTCTCAGACGTTAATCTTACCATCTGATACTTTCAGTGAAAAACAAAAAGTAATTCCCTTTCCATTCTCCTCCTTGCAAATCTAGAAGCCCTCTTTACCAAGAGCATCACATTTTCCTCTGTAATCCATTGACTCAAAGAAAATTGCATTGTGGGGAGGGCGGAGGGGTATGGGGTGGTGGGGGGGTGGAGGGTAGGGAAGTCCTTCCAGGCCAGGCTACAGTTCTTGTCCCTTTCTGCTTCTGACATGAGATGTTAATGAATCATTCATCAGGCTCACATTGGGTTAGGGGACACCGAACTGCTTTTCCAATCCATGATCAATCATCGTTCTTCTAAGAGATTGGAGCTTTGCTGTTTCATTAACTGTGCAGTGTAGACTAATGGTGTTTAATAAAAATCATTCAAAATTTCAAACTCTTTGCCAGTGACCTTTTTGCTTTGTCTTAGACTTTGAGGAGGGAAGGGGGACGCAAAGGAAGCCTGCTCTCAGGCGCCTGGCAGCATGCTGCAGTGGCGAACCCAGTGGCTGCCAGCACTTGCTGGTGAGTGGTGGCAGCGTGCGGAATGCCACAGTGGATGCTTCCAGCTGGGGGTAGCTTGTTTTTACTGAGTGACTCATTGTTCTCCAACCTGTACAGCAGGAAGCCAGCTGCCATATTCAGAGTTTAATAAGAATTATAAATGCTTTACCGACTTGGTTTCGGCCCACACCCCTCACGGGGCTACCAAATAGGAGAAGTATCTCTAAGAGGAGAACCCGGGAGTGACAGCGGTAGCCCGATACACTCCAGGTGCTTCG